AGTAAATGTCTTACACCGGGAGATGTGGCGATCACTTTGTATGGGAATAGAAAGACATCGATTCCCACTTTGAGGAATATGTTTTTGAATAAACCGATGATCTGAAGCGCCAACATATCCTACAAAACCAAATCATATACAGTTAACAATTGAGAAACAACTGACCGTTCAATGGTTTTACTCACTTGTCGGACATCATCGCCCACTTTAAAGATGGCCGCCTGCCATAGCTCAACGCCTAAAGACATTTTGTGATTATTGGTATTATTAGTATCGGAAGACATGGCCAGTCGTTCGAGTTGATCGCTTCCACACAGCGATACCTTAAAACGTGCCAAAAACGGCGCTTTTGCTGCGCTTTGCAGTGGAATTCCCTTTTCGGGGTCGATATCTAACACCAATGCCTCGGCATTTGATGGCAAATAGCAGCCCAACTGAACCTTTATTTTGCGGAGTGCTTTCAAAAGCGCTTCCTTACGCTCTTTCCCTTTGGGATAATTGCGAATCTCACCAGAAATGGCAGTTATTTTACCGAAAAAGTCAAACTCTCTTTCGTAGAACTCTTTGGCCGGTCCTGAGAGTGAGTCCACTATTGTATTAGTGATGTGTTCGAGGGGTTCATATAAATCCTCTACGAATGCCAATCGTATATTAATAAAATGATTGCCACAAACAATATGTTGTAAGAAATGTATGCAAACTTACGGTCGGGTTCCTGTTGGTCCTCATCCTTATACATATTGGTTTGCATATTCCATATCAACTGATGGGACAGTAGTTGCGATGTTGTGGCCGCCCATCGTATGAATTGCGATATATATCCCATCTATTAGTTGATCATAAATAATGAATACAATAATAATAAAACCATTTCATATATGAAACTTACGCTATCGTAACGAACCGCTTGAACCAGTTGTGGAATGCAAAACATTATCACATTCTGTCAAACCATATATTAATCAAATAATTAACAAATCAAGTAATTTAGTTGACAGTTGTCTATAAAAGAGCACAAACCGGATCATAATTAATGAGATTTCGTATCGCATACTGAGCTGTGATCGGATGCGGAGGGTATTGACGAGAGAAGTAGGACAGGGCTTGTATTGGCGAGACTGGAGTCCAGGTGAGCATATGAGTCAACTGTTGTGTTCATTTAAATTAAATTAAATTAATACAAAATCGTGATTAGTATTATCACAACCTCTGGTGAGTCGTGTAAAATGCTTTCAGATGTGACCAAATACTGAAGTGCTTCCGGAATATGACAGACAACTATTGGATTCAAGCGAACCAAACGCGAGATCTCGTCCTTAATCTCATCGGAATTCTTAAACCTATAAAAGAAATGATGTGTTAAATACCAAATGCACCAGCGATTGTATGGATGGTTGACCTGCACGGGAGGAATACGGCCAGCGTCGGTGATATCTCCCACGCGAGTCGGGCCGTCTCTTTCCACGTGCGTTCAGTGATGGGTTGATTACGCCATTTAGAAATGGTCTCTTCGCCCTGAATGATGGCTTCGGGTGCGGCGGTCGGGTTGTGCCACGTCATCAACAGCTCTATCTCCAGAGCTAATAAACTGAGAATTAAGTTCCTTTTCCTCACGTAATCCTTAACGAAATAGTCAACAAATATTGAATT